TATATGACTAGAAAAAATTTCAAAAAAGTATGTTTGTACCATGTAAACTTTACCTTATTCAATTTGTTTATACAGGTAATTCTAAATTTATTCTATGTGTGAATTTTGTTACATTTAAGTTTCTTGTTTCAATAAACAAATCTGTAATTTAAAAAAATTGATTAATTTGTGTTGCATCAGTAAAAACACAGCCATAGATCAATAAATATTGGTGTTCCCAGTCTTCCAGATGCTCTGTGGCCTTCAACCTCATAAATCATCAGTCAATTTGTCAGATGCGTTGTCTTGGTTATATTCTATTTTTACCATTGTCCCTATACATTTATCACTTTATGCTGTTATAATGTACAGTAGCCCTGCTTATTTATTGTTAAGGATAAACTTTTTACTGCAATATGCATACTGTATATGAATTAAAGATTATTTTTAAAATGAAATTGACATTACAATAATAAATGAATATCCAAACGAATATGGAAGTATCAAAGGGTGGGGTCATCTCTCCTGCAGCTGGGCCCCACTTTATCTTGGTTGTAATACCATATGGTAGATTAAAGCTGTCACCCAGACTCAAGGCTCGACCTTGTTGATTTGCGCTTGTGATTATATGTATTTCCGTTTTATTATTTAATTCCAATGATTTTAATATCATGTATAGGCTTAAAATAATAACGAATATAAATAAAATAAACTGTCATCATCATAATAATAACAATAATAATAAAAATGAACCCAAATTATTGCAGACTCACAAAATTAAAACCCAAATGAATGTGATATTTTTTACCAAGATGGCCTGTAACGAGGTATTGTATTATTATATTAATTTCATTTCCGATAAGTACCATGAAATTTAAATTACCGTATTTACAATTGTTAATAAATTAATTCAAAAGGGTATTTTAGTGTAATTTGGTTTTTATTGCCATAAATTAATTCCAAAGGGTATAAGCCTAGCCTATAATGAGATATTTTAATATTATTTTACTTTCATTTCCGATATACCATGACATTTAAATTACTGTATTGATTGCCTCAATTCTTCAATTTGAATTTTTTTTTTCGGTATTAATTTTGATTAATGTTATTACTTACTTATATTTTTAACATTATTTTATTTATTGTTGTTGACTGACCAAGGTGTTTGTGGTAAGTTAATTACGTTGGTAAGAGGCTTCATCGTCAGCTATTTTCGGTCCACTGCAGGACGAAAGGCTCAGCATGTTGACGCCAAATCAATCTCTCTTCCCCAATAAATATCATTGTCTCTTCATCTTTTATGTTGTCTTACCTTGTTCGTTTTGCCATCCATGGTGGTCTCCATTCTGTTTTTAATTTTTTGTTTTTTTTTGTTTAAAGAGGCTTACTTTAACTAAAATTTATTTATATGCCATGAAAATGCTTGCACATAGGGCTGAAACGTAGCCTCAGCCACTTGACATTTCGTCAAAAATGCAATTTGGGGTATCTATACATGGCTGCCTGAGATTGGATTGATTGCATTGGAGATTGGATTGAATAGTCTTCACTTTTGGGTCTTCGGTCTTCGTTTTATAGACACTTGAGTTTGGACAGCGTTTAGTTTGAACTGCTGACTACAACCAAATGAAAACCACTGAGCCAAACCACATTTTTACCATTATAGTTATTAATATTATTAATAATAATATTAGGCTTATTATTATTATTTTTAATATTATTTTATTTATTTGAATTGTATTCATCCTCCTCCCCCAATAGCTTGGATAGGCTTTTCTACTACTGCCGTCAGTGTGTGGCTATTTTTTATGGTATCTCGATACTGTAATAGACCCTAAACTTTTCAGCATATGGCATTTTGAGAAATTAGACCTATTATATTTTGATAAACTAGACAGTGATTTTTGCAATTACATTTTGATTTTAACATAGACTTTTGCTGCGTATGGCACCCCATATCCGACGGCTATGTCAAGTGTAAATTATTGAGCAACAGTAAGGGCTTGTTACACACTTGCAATGTATGTTTACAGGTTGCACACTCACAAGTACGTTTGCAGGTAACAAACTCATATGTATGTTTAGACATATGTACTCTACAGGTAACACCCATGTGTACATTATTGAGCACAGTAGAGACAGGTTACACACTCACATGTATGTTTACAGATAACAGTTGGGTGGTCAGTAAACAGATGCTAAGCTCTGTCGACTAACTGTTGGTAACCACTGTGTGTTCGCCAAACTGTGGAGATATCTTGGTCACCTGCTAAATTCCCATTGCAGCTCTCTTTGTGTTTCAGCTGGAAGGCTAAAATGCAACTTTCAGTAGTGCACCATCTTTCGAATGAGATGTTTAAACTGTTGGTCATGTGTGCAACATGGCCTATGTGCATGTTAAAGAATGCAGGACTGCCCAATCACCACCAGAAGGACCCAACCAGACATATGTCTTCTTTGGACTTTCATGGGTTATCGTTGGTGTATGTTATCGACCAACAGCAATCATATTATGCACTTGTGTGTGAAACAAGTATTAGTGACAATTAGTAACACACAATCTCACCTGCTCTCCTTCCTTCTTGGAGCCTAATGCATACTTTTCATCACACCTACGTCGTATCAAAAGATTACGAACTTGATTATTGTACCAAAGTGAGAGCGTATATGGATTTTTCTGTCCTCCACGCTTACTAATACGGACTAAGAAGGCCCCATCCTACAAAAACAAGAAATATTGAATCAATTAAACTTACCAAACTTTAGTTATCATAGTAAAAACAATGATCAACAACGACTGTACTGCATAGCGATTAAACGTTCATCTACAGTATTTCTTTAATCTCCCCGCCCCTCACCCCCCTTTTCAATCTGCGTCATCCCGCAAAATAATCACTCACCTAAAAATTATGGTGAGCATTTTATTGCTTGCCTGCCATTTTCAAATGATAAGGCCTATTATAGATTATAAAGTATTTTAGTAAAAAGTGCAAATTATCTTTGAAATCAAGAATAACCTACCCTCCTGAATTCCTCAAGACTCTTGTGAGCTTTATCTCGTGGTAAGTCAGCATGATACCATGGGTAACCATCCATTGAATTCTAAAGAAAAGAACCAAATTATTTTATTATGAGTATATCAGAGGAATGGACGAAATATTCATGTTAAATGAATTAAGTCTAAAAATATACAAAACAAAGGCAGAACTTGGTTAATTCATATTATTTATTTGCACTAAAACGTTGTTTCGTATGGTTGGCAGAGCCAACCACATTCATT